AGGAGAAGACCTTGCTGCCAGGGTGGGGAAGGAATTGAGACTGTGAGGAGCACTACAGAGTGCCTGCCCCGCAGTCTGCCTGCTGCCCAAGACATGTAGGAGAAACCTCACAACAGGCTGAGCTGGCCAAGACATCCTAGGATACCTGGAAGATGACTTGGCTGCATTCGGCTGCTTGCTCAGAAAAGAAAAGCCATGTTTACAGAAATTATGACAGGAAAACTAAAATAAACAAAAGTAAAAAAGAAGTGGTATCTTCTTTTCAGAATCTTATCTTATCAGAATTAAATTTGCAAGTCCATCTGGCTGGGAATCTGACAACATGGGAGAGCAGTGAAGTGTGAAGACACCAGTTATACTTCTAAATGTGGTAGTTCAGGTACTGAAAGACCAAATCTGAATTTGTCTCGCAGGACTAATTAATCTAGACAGAGTGGTACAACCCTGGATACAGCATCCAAGCTTATCCATATCCAGAGAAAAGAACTAAGTGGTGATTAAAAGGGAGTTTTCTAAAGAAGATCAAGGGCTTTTGTGTAAATATATATATATTGCTCTTAAGAGGGTGAGAACACAAAGATAAAGGTGGGGTTTCATAGGATGGGTTGAAGAAACACAAATTATTTAGTCATCCTGATAAAGGGACCTCTGGAATGCTGCCGGTCATGCAGGGCAGGACTGAACATGAATAACCACACATTACCTCTCCCTCTAATATTTTTTTCTCCCTATCACCATGCTTTTTGCCAGGGTATCCTGTGTTTAGACACCACCACATCATTCAAATGGTCCAGGCATGACTTTGTCCCATGCCAACTGATGATCTTCCAAGCAGTGCCCCAGCAGTGTCCAGGATGGAGCCTGGGCCAGGGGCTGTTCCCAGCAGGCAGCTTGCAGGCAGGTAGTTGTTTTAGAGGTCGAGAGAGTTAAATAGCATCAGCCTGGCCAGACCAGTGCCCATTGGCCTGAGAGATGCCCAACTTGCTACCTGGATATAGAATATGATAAATAGATTGATTTTTAATCTATGCTCCACAGCCCACCTGCCAACAGCACAACGCAGTCCACAAAAGGACTGGCAAAGTGCTTTTAAACCTGAATGTATGTTCTGTGCAGTGGTTATGTGAAGTGGTTCTCACTTGCAAAGTGAGGAAAAGTGGTCTGCTACTGGTTTAAGGAAGAAATCCCTCATTTCTATAGATAAGAAACAAAGCCATGCATTCAGTTCACTCACAATTGCTGCATCACTTTTTGTCAAGGGCCAGAAAGTCAGTTTTTATTTTTCACTTCACATCGTTCTGCTGAAAAATAATCCTTGCAGAGCTGTCGGTTTTCCCATTCTACTGTGTTTCTGCCAGATAGACACCAAGTAATATTTCTTCCTTAAGCTGCAGAGGTGTGTTCTGGAAAAACATGAAGACACACAAATTTTCTGTGAATGTTTACAAGAAACAAACACAGGCTACTGTTTGCTGAAGAGAGAACTATTTCTTGAGTTTAAACTATGAATTGATAATATAGAATGAGTGAAGAATGTTTATTAGTTCTAGACTAGCAAAGTATTGGAATAGCTCTGCAAAGAAAAAAAAAAACCAACAAGCCACCAGGTGTGCCTGCTAAAATGAACCTGGAAGAAGGATGCACTGAACGGATTAAAACTGAGCAATTAAATAAATGATTAACTTTGATCAATGCAAACTGGCAGCTGCCTGGTTGGATTTGGAGCTTTGCTGTGATTTTAACAGGGCAGGGTTGTCCTCTGAATGCCCTTAATGTGTAAGTGGAGGAGGGAGTATCTCCAAAGACAGGGAATTAGTCCAGCAGAAAACTGGTCTAGAAAACCTGACCAAAGACTGCCGATTCTCTCTGTCAGCTTACCTGTCAGAGCTGAAGGCTCACAAAAATGCTTCCACCAGCACCAGGAGAAAATGGGGCTACAGAGACGTACCTGAACAGGCTGAAATGGTTGTGGAACGACGCTAACGAAAATCTGTGGGGACTCTCAAACTCTTGTCCCTTAAGTGACTGTGTAAAAGTTAAACAGCAACTGGTGTTACGGTTGTCCCTGCCTCTAACTCTGTAGCTTCACCTGTGTGACGTGGCCAGAGCTCTTCCTTTATCCCTGTAGCTCAGTCTTGCTGCGGTACTACCCCTCTCATTCTTCCTACTCACCTGCCTATCTCCCTGACAGGGAACCGATCTGCATTCAAACTAATTGCCTTTTTTTTTCCTTTTTAAGTTCAGATTTAACACAGATCTTTATTCTCCTCTGATCCCTTGGGTTGAAAGTGCTGGTTCAGGCTTTTCCTGCCAGCACCAGGCAGAAGTCCAGAAGTGCAGAGGAGCCGCTGGTGCCAGCTCCCAGTAGCCTGTGAAGCTCTGGCAAAGCTGTAAAGCCAGGGGCCCGGCCGCACTGTGATGACCTAGCTAGAAAAATGGATGCAGACTCGTCGATATTTGATCTTTCCCACAATGTTAGTTTACTGCACAGGTTATCCCAGTTAGGGCAAGACACCAGTGATCTCCTACCCTACAAAAGGAATACGCTCAGTCTCTCACTCGCCTGTAAAGCCAGAAGCGTAGAAAGAACTAACAAGGTTTTCCTCAACTTTCCACCCTAGATGGAGTCCTGATGTTCCAGCAAGTGCCCCTGGTTGAGATCGATGGGATGAAGATGGTGCAGACCAGAGCCATCCTCAGCTACGTAGCAGGGAAATACAACCTCTATGGGAAGGACCTGAAGGAGAGAGCCCTGTACCGTAACATCTTCTTTCACCTAATGAGCAATCTGTTGTTTGATAGCTGCATTGCATATAACGAATTCAATCCTGTAAATCCAGTAGAAAGTTGTGAGAAGGGCTGATGCAGTAAAAATCAAGGACTCTAGCCTTTGCTTATGTTTCAACCACTGCTTCTGAAATGCTGCTGAAGAGAAACAGGCTTTTCGACCTTTTAAAAAATATTTGGGTTTACCTTATGTTTAGTTTTGGCTGCAAAGATTGGCACTATGGCGGTGATATAAAATTCATGTAAGCTGCCTCAGTTAATTGGAAAGCACGATGAAATAACTCCTGTGCTTTTTTCCACTTTGTTCCCCCCACCAATAGGATTGACATGTATGTGGAAGGAATAACAGATCTGATGCAAATGATTTTGATGTTTCCTTTCTCTCCACCTGAGGCAAAGGAGAAAAGTCTTGACTCAATTAAGGAGAGGGCAACGAACAGGTACTTCCCAGTCTTTGAAAAGGTAAGTGACAGTGAGGATGTACCTATAAAACTTGCATTTACAATTATCAAAAAGTTTCCCCAAAATAAGGACATGTTTGTAGTGCAGGTCAGCTCCTCTCTCAAAGAAAGGGAAATATGGCAGCACGTTTTCTGTTTGTTGGCTTGTGCCGTCAGGGCTGTGGTATTTTAACGTCTACAGAGCAAACAGAGCAATGTGTTCTCAGCTACAGAGCAAAACTTTCTACTAGAATAAAAGCAAGCATGTATGCGTTGTCTTTTTGCAGGGATAGTTCCACATTTACATTTGTTTAGGGCACATTTCCCTGCTCTACTTAATTTCAGTTGGAACATTTTCACTAGAAGAATGCAAAAAAACCTTGGAAATAAATCAGGTAGAGAGATTAGGAGTGTTTTAGTAAAACAACAGTCATAGATTTCTGTATATCCCGCTTTCAGAAACAACAGACCAAACCCATCTGACTCAGACATCTGGCAACATTTCTCACGTTTGTAATATTAATCTAGTTTTGATGAAAAACACTAATAAAGGATGAACATTCTAGAAGTTCTTATGACTATAATAACTTATTCCCAAAGGCAGGCATTTTCTTTGCCTAGCTGTTGTAATTCTGCATTTCTAAGTTTGCGTCGTGGTATTGACATTGGACATAATTTTAAATGAAATATCTAAATGGCAATTTAATAAATTCTCCAAGTTACGATTTAGTTCCTCCATTATCGCTGTTTCTATGACTGTAGTAGTCTACTTCAGTGCGTGGTTTTGTCCCTGTTCCCAGTGCTTATCATCGTTTGTCATTACCAAGTGGCTAAAGTTTGTAGGCTGTATTCTGCAAGGGTTCAGATTTTTTCCCAACAACCATGAAGTGATTGAGACTCACAGCTTCCAGCTGAAAACTCCACCCTGAGGTTCCAGATATAATCGCTGTCCAGCTCTACAGCTCTGCTGTCAGGCTTAGCTGCCAGGCATCGTATGTCCTGTTCTCATCTGCCCTGCACATCTCTTGTGTTCTGCAGGTTTTGAAACAACATGGTCAAGATTTTCTTGTGGGCAACAAATTCAGCTGGGCAGATGTGCAGCTCATCGAAGCCATTTTAGCAGTGGAGGAGAAAATACCGGCTGTGCTGTCGGGGTTTCCTCAGTTGCAGGTATTTTGTTCTGGAACATGGCCTTACTCAGGAGCTGGAGGGCAATCCTGAAGTGGTCATTGCTCCGGGCTGTGTAAATCAGGAGCGTGGGCTCTTTGAGGAACTATCACTACCTGTATGTTTCTTTAACATCAAGCACAAGAGGGAATGGATTTAGTTGGTTTGTGTGCTCCTGACTGAACCTGTTCAGGTATACCTGTCCCTCTTTGAGTGTTATATGCCTCCTCCATAGAAATGAAATAATGTCATCCCATGGGAATCACTGATCTAAGCTGCCCCATTTTCATTTTCCTGCTTCCTGACAGTAGATGTTATTTAATACTAGAAAACAAATTAAGTCTGTGGTAGGGGTTGACATGTCAGAATAAGGTGCAGCGCACTATTTTCTGTACTGACTGGTATTACAATTTTGGGATCCCATAACCTCATTTCACTTCTGCCTTCTACAGTATGACTAGGAACCTTAGCATTAAGCCACAAGACTTGTTTTCTTTCAATAATCAACTCAGTGCAGTCGAGGATGAAGTCTTTGCCTTTGTGCCATGCATAAAGTCTGAAACCTCGCAGAAGTGAGGCACTTCTGCTGCGAGATTTGACCAGAACTCAGAAGCCTCCAGGCATGCAGCATGCTATAGAACACGGTGTGTCGGCAAGCTTGGGCCATGACCTGTGGGAGTCGTTAAGAGTTGAGATACAGTGGACTGGAAAAAAAAGCAGATAGATAGTGCTCAGCACCTCTCCCACATGCCTGTAATCATGGTAATAAAGCAGTGTAGGCAATGCAAAATTGGGTTGAGGATGCCAGACTTGAGGGCATGCTTCTTTGTGCTTACAAACTCTTAATTTGAGGGGTGCACTCAATGACTTTGGCTTTATCCCCATTAACAAAAGAAACAGTCCAGCATCAGATGATCACAAGCATTTTACTTGGGAATCATGAGGAAAAGGGCTTTGATTTTTTTTTTCTTTTTTAATTTTTAAATCTCAACCCCAACAGTTTAAGCCGGAATTTAGTGTGACAGAAGGAAGCACTTCAGCCACAAAGTAGGCAGTAATGTGTGTCGGACTCTTATCCCATATGCAGTTTTGCAGGCTCAGGTAATTCTTGTCTCTACAGCCACTCGGCATGGGCACAGTTCTGCCGAAGCCATGCCTTGAATTGTGGAGGTGTTTCTTCACTGCCAGAAGGGACAAAGTTTCTGAAACTGGTGGTTACTTATTTCAGGGGTTTTGCTTTTCTTGCTCCTTCTTGTATTTCCCCCTTATCTTTCCAGTGCATGTAGCTAAGAGGGAGTTATGTTCATACCTCTGCCAGCAAGAACTGGCTGTCGCTCTGTGAAGCTCCTCTCCCTTAGCCCCATTGTTAGAAGAGGTTCTCGTGTATCTAGAGATTGCTCAGCTAACTGTGGGGTCTCCAGCTGCCGACAGTCTGACTCAGTGACTCCTCTCTGACTGTCTGTACAATGAGATGTCTCAGGATCCTTCACTCAATTGCCTTAACACAGGCATCTCTTGCCACCTGAGATGCCCAACTCTTCCCTAACCCTAGTCCTGGTCTCCAGCCACTGGTCCAGGAGGGAATAGGTCTCCCCGAGGAGACATATCTGCCAGCCCTACGTAGACATTTTGGCTATCCTAAGGTACAAGAAGCCTTTATTGGACAACTGAGTTGAGCCAAGGATGCCTCCAGCCATTTAACTTTCACCCACTCAATCCTAGAAGTGCTGGGGCAGTGGGACAACAGTGGCCATGCTACATGGCAACAGAGCTCAGATACGTACAGAATGTAGTAAAAATGGAAATCTTGTTAACATATATCATGGTTTGCCCGCACGGTAGTTTGCACCATCAGAACCAGCAATGAAAAGGAAGCAGTCATGATCTGGGCCAGTGTATTTGTACTTCCAAAACTACCCCTGGTGCTCCTGGATATTGAATTTTTGCCTTCAGTTGCTTTCAGCAGCAGAGATTTAGGTATTGTCTCCTCCAATACTGGCTTACACGTAGATGGCACAGGAGCTGAATGAATGTTAGGAACTCTTCTGTCAGCAGGGGGAAGCAGTTGTTCTGTGCAAGGAGCACTGTTTGCTACTGGAATAGCCAGAATTTTTTTCTTACTCTGTTGTTTTTATTTTTTAGGCTTTTAAAATAAGAATGAGCAATATGCCTACCATTAAGAAGTTCCTGCAGCCTGGCAGCCCAAGGAAACCCCCACCGGATGAACGTTATATAGAAACTGTGTTGAAGATTTTTAAGAAATGAATGCCATGCTACCTTCAGTAAGATCCAAAATATTGGGGGGGAAGAAAAAACCCCAAACCATTAAAGGAAGTCAGAAGCTCAGTAAATTTGTATTGTTGTTGTAGTTAAAACCAATGGTGAAAAAAACAAAACAAAACAACCCACCAAAAAAACAACCCAAAAACCGAAATAAAGAAGTCTGATTATTCTGGCAATGTGACAGGAGATTTGTCTTTGTTGATATCAAATGCTTGGCAAAGCATGAAAACAAAGAAGCATGAGTAGGGAATTTATTCCTTTGCAAAAAGACTGATGCAGCGTTAGTACTGTCAAAATGTAGCTTGTTGAAGAAAATATTTTCTAGATGAAAATAGGCTTCAGAATAAGAGTTGTGGAAAAGAAGAAAGAGAAAACAATTCACTGAATCACTTATCCTTAAAAAAGGTAAACTTGTTTCAACAACAATTTTGGTAAGTAAGTACTTATATTGCATTATTTTTGTAGTACTGTGTGTGTGAAACTTCTAAAATAGTTTCATCTGTTGTTACCAAAGCCAAATCTCCTTGGTTTCTCACACTTCCCAGGTCTTTGCCCAGGAACCAGCTCTTATAATGTTTCATTATTTTATTCTTCTACCTTTTTCATGTGATCCTTACAGGCCCCCTAGTGCATTGCTCCCAGGGCACCTCTTCACGTGATGAACCCTCTGAAGGGTGGGGAGGTGTGGGGGTTGGGCACAGCAGTGGCAGCTGTTGTGGCTGTCATCTGCACCTTTCTCCACAAGACTGTTAATCCTATTTGGTGGTGACTGCCTGGCCCTCTGGGAGTCACAGGAGGTCTTGGAATGATTTCCTCTGGAAGGCTATCTCTTGTAAGCATATTCCTGGGTTTATCAGAGGGTTACATTGCACACTTATCATGCCAGGTTCAGAGGGCATAATTCCGTGTGGACAAATGTTTCATGGGACATCATGGTAAGCTGCACTTTTCAAGTGTGCTGAACATAGGCAACAGCAGTTTGGAAAAACAACAACAAATGGGACCTTTGTTTTAAATGATACAAAACACCAGAGCTGCATTTCATTTCTGCAGCGAGGCAGGGCTGGACGTATCCCAGCAGGTCTCGTTAGGCACAGATGAGGCTCCCTTCTCTACAGGCCTTATTCCCCCTGCTCATACAACAAGGCACAACAGTTTGTGTGTGCACCTATTTCCCTTGCAAGTACATTTTAAATATTGGCTCATAATTTTGAACGCAGTTTAACAAAATTCTGGTGTGTTTCATATAGAGAAGACAATTCACAAATCCTGATGACACAAAACATTTTCCGATGCTCTGTCAAGGAATCAGTATCATGTCTGAAAAAGAGTTTAAAAATATATATTTATACCTTATTATTTTAAAGGAAGAGGCCAAATGGAAACAACCTGGTGGCCAGCAACAGCTGAGGTGAATATTCACTCCTAAGTTATTAGGGTATCTTTGACATTTTCCCTAGTTTTGATTCCTGGATGGTCAGTCTGAACCTGGAAGTACTTAAGAGACCAGATGCCTTTAGGCACTCAAGATACAAATGACACTTCTATAGCATTTTCCAAAATACTTTACAAGCTCAGTGAAGTGACATTTCCCAAACCCTTGTTAAGTTAGGAGACAGACTGTATCATATTTTTCAGTTCTATTTAGGCCAGTAAATGTGTTGACGAGGACTTGCCTGAAATCTTGATGGATACCTGTCGTGGTTTAACTCCAGCTA